ATACCACAATTTATAATAAAAAAAAATATTACCTTTAACTATGCAAAAAATAAAAAATAAAAAAAAAAAAGGTCAGAACGGTCATAAGACCGTTCTGATTGCAGCTGCAGGCTGCAACAGCGCCTGCTGCTGCGGCAAGCGCAATTAATTTTTATTTTATTTTATTTTGAACCGGCCCGGACTGGTTTCAGGTTCGGGCAACCATTGATTCGGCCCACACGGTTCACGGGCCGAATCACGGGCCAGTTAACCTCCCGCCACGCTCCATTGCCATCCCTAGCCTGATTTGATTTGATCAATTTATATTGGAAAAAACCATATGTACAGGGTTATTGTTTATAGACGCAGCACCTGATTGACAATTTTCTATCTTTTTTTCATCTCCAAATGAAATCTTGAAAAGTGTAATTTTGTAAAAATTCTGTCAAAATTATTCTGTAAATGTAGCATGATTCGTGCATGTTAGAGTTTTCAATGGTTATCAATTTGATTCTGTTTTTCATTAATATTGGACAGATCTAAATATTTGTGTCTAAAAGAGAGTTTTGAGTAATGTTATTTAGTATAATTGGTATTATAATACCAATCTAAATAACAAGTGACACTGAATGAAAGACCTAATTTAAATATAGATTACAAGATTTCAGTTTTAGTTGAATGTATAAGTTAACATAGCGTCAATTAATTGGTTTTCTAACAAAATGAAGCTGGATATCGAAAAATGTGCCGAACCACTAGACTTATTCAGCCCACGAGCCATGCTACAGGAACCGCGGGATGACCGCGCCGGTGACCGCACACACACACACACATGGGGGGTCGGGATTATTTTATTCGGGTGGGACCCTCGCCTTGGCTGTGAGGGCGCGGTCATCCCCGCGATCATCCATGCGGGTCGTCTAGAATAATTCTTCAGCCCACTCCAGGCATCATCCATCCCGATACAACTTGGTACAACCATGTCATAGACTGGGTAAACACAAGTGCTAGTTTATTACGAAAAAACTTTATGGGCATAACACAGTCCATGTAAGTTTGTGCAAAGCCAGGCCACCTCAAAAATTTCCCCACACAACCCACTTTGCACCTCTACCTTATCTCACCCACTATGGATGTGAAGTCTACCATAATCTGTATGAAGTCTACCATAATCTGTATGCGAACCTTCACAGTTAGCAGAGATTGAAATCTTTCCGTAAGAGAAACTGTAGAAGCACTGAAGGCTAAGACTAGTGAAATATAGGGAAAAAATGCCAACACAACTTTTTTTGTATGTTCAGACAAATAAACGGAGTAACGTACAATAATAAATATCAACACAAGATTATTTCTCCCTCCGACTTATATAACCATTACGCAACTTATTCTGAAAGTTTAAAAAAAAATGCAGCATAATACTCCTTTCAAAATGCAACAAAATTTACACACAACAAAAGTGTAAAGGTCTAAAATAGTTTTGAAAATATTAGAATATAAAAACTACGCTATCGTAGACTCTGGACTTCTGATTTTGAGCAACACATTCAGATATCCACATCAAGTTAGGCAAAAAACACACCATAATGGAACTGCAATAACATATGAATACAGATAATCAATTGAACAAATTAATTTGCAAAATAAATAAATAAAGAGCACCAAGTAGACGTGTGAAATTTTGTTTCCAGAAAACAATAAATAAAATTCTCCATGCTAATCAGTCGTGTTGTTCAGATGCTTCAGAAAAACCTTGTTGTTATTCCTAGGTGTAGAATTCTCGACTTTTTAATTGCTAGCTCTTAGAAACAAACCTGCTGCTCAAATGCTAAGCAAAGCCGTTTCACCTCCTCTTCGTAAAATGCCTTGTCAAGTATCTGGCTTTCTCCATAGGATAACTTTGAAAATATGGACTAATAAGGAGAATACTTCTCCATGACTCCACGGACCTATAATTGTTGAATAAATAATTAATTATTAACTGCCACATTTGGAAAAAAAGGATCATTCAAAAGCCTTTCAGAATTGGCACTGTATCATCAATAACAAGAAGTAGACTCCCTATATTGTCCAACAACAACAGCACCCTGATAGGCCATCGGTCCAGTTCACATATTCTAGAAGGGGTAAGAAGGGGATCTCGCACAGTGAGGGAGAGAAGCTAAATTCTGTTGGAGGGAATAAAGGGTAACAAGTTTCTGTTAAGAGAACCTATAAGTGTTAGCACTAAAGTAGTAATGAGGGGGGAATATTTTGGGAGTGAGTCTTGAGTAGTTTAGTTCTATTTACTTCCTTCTATAGGTTTTGCTA